TACAGAATATTTAATGTAAATTTTGTCCGATTTGAATATAATTATAATGAAGATTCTTTCAAAAGTTTCAAAATTTTTAATTAAAGTCTTTGAAAACTTGTTAGCATTTTACGGAGAGAAAAATCGCATCTTCCCCACTTGATTGTATGACACGTACCATTGATTGGCACGAAATGTAGATACTTACTGGGAATTCGACCAAATTTTATGTGCCACTCGAGAAAGAAGGAAATTCGAAAGCCATTCAATTCTTACCTGCTCGATTGTCTGATTTGCGTAAAAAAGCAGAAGCATGAAGGAAAATTTCATTAAAGAAATAGACCAAAAAATGAAAAAAGAGGGAGTATATACTTATACTCGAATAAATGACAATTACAGATAGATGTAAGTTTAATAACAATTAATCGACGTTGGATTTGATGTGCAGAAATTCCGTCTTGCAATCAGCTTCAACGATTGTTTAACCTTATCGCGCAAATGGAAACTCTACATAGGATATATGTTACATAACTGCTACTCACGGGAGCGATCAGGATTCCATAAACCAAAACTATATTGCGAGCCCCTATATCCGATCTCTCTTCGTAACATATTCTCGACGAATAATGGATTTATGTACGCGTTAGACTTGAAATACGCGCATTACAGATTAACGTCACTGCCATGAAATCGCATGTCTAACTGTCTAATGCACAGAGCTCATTATAATTTAACAATATTCATTGATATTCGTACATGTACAATGGATTTTACAATATAAATCTGTTAAAATATGATTTTATTTGGATATGTTTTAAAAAGGATTAGTTGCTATAATATTTTTTTTGTTCGCGTTTATATGTGATTAAAATGATGTGACAAAAAGGTGATAAAAAGTTGAATTTTTATCGATGGATTAAAAACTTGAACATGAACAAGTTGAAAATTATGATATAATTTGACATAATTTATCAATAATCAATGACAGATCAATATTCCATTCATTTCAGTAATTAACGTTCTATGAAGAGATAATGATTCATTATTTGTCCTCTTTTACGAAGAACTCATTTTGATTTCTTATCAATGAATAGCTTTCGGAAAGCGCGAATTCATGTCTCTTTATCCAAGCTAATCAAAAGTATTAACTTTATTATTTAAGAATTCTACGTGGAGATATATATATATGCGTGATTAAATGACGATAAAGTGATTTTATCGGCGCGAATTTTTTGATGACAATATAAAATTCAGTCTCCGAAAGGAACGCGTTATATGTATGTTAATGTGCGAGAAGTAGCGAATGGCGTTGAGTAATGGAGAAAACTAGTAACTGTCACTCTGACTCTTGTAGCAATGGGCAGTAAGGTACAGGCTTCCAATGGAACTTTTCTGTTCGTCTAATTGTCCTAACGACTGACCTCTACGGCCGTCCACGCTCCCTTATCACCCTTTCATTCCGTATCTTTGGGGCGTTTTGCTCTTCGTTCGTTTTTACGTAATAGTTAATGGTAATATAAAAAGAAAGCACGTCATAAATCATACAGTAATCGTAATATTTTTCAATATCCTTATAAATATTCAAAGAGCCGGATTTAATACCATATTTTAATCACTTTTTTAACATCAAATATGTTTAATCCAATATCAATTTAAAATTATGAATTTGATCCTTATTCGAGATAGATAAAATTCGAAATTATATATAATATTTAAAATGTAATAATAGTTACATTTATATGATATCATACGTGATATTATTATATTCTTGCATCTATAATTAATATATATTTTCTAAAAAAATATTTCGCTCAAAATATTTTTTAAAATTAAAATGAATTCAGATGAATTTAATGCGAAGTACAATAGTTAAGATTTAAGAATAACGTATAATCATGATATTATAAAATAATGTTCCTCTTGAACATGTTTTATAATTTTTCAAAAATTCTTTTCAACAACATCTAAAACAATATCTAAAATCGATTTTACACGCGATGCAAAATCTATCTCAATCCATCTTAAATCCATGTTATTACCTAGTCCAATAACCCGTGCAAAGTTATCATTGATTCCTGATCGGCACAGCTCTCTGTGGCTCGTTAAGACGACCAAAGTCGGCTTTCGGTCTCGGATTTCCGAGGCATATATCCGGATAATTAATGGCAAGCGCATCCTACGCGAGATGGTGATAGGACTGCGCGAGCGCGTCTCGCACCAGCCACGGTCAAGACAGGTGCCACACCGGGAATCGCTGAGTCAGTCCTGCGATCGGGGCCAGTCTGGTCGAATGAATAATGCAAGTGCACTTGCATCCCGGCATCCGATCATGCCTACGTAGGAAGGAAGGTGAAGTCGAGGCGCTCCACCTCGCTGTATTATCCGCTTATATGTTTATCTATGTGACTGCATCATACATAGATACGCGAAACGCATAGAGTACGCATACGCATATGTCGAGGTTCAAGGAAGAGCAAATGATGCATTCAAAGTGAGCAAGGGGGAGGAAGGAAGGAGACAGAGCTCTTCACATATATAGACATAAATTCCCAAATATATCAAAACGAAAAACTGACATTTATTGGCATATTCATGACAGCAGTATGTGGTTTGCAGTAAATTAATATTGACGTGGAAACGAGTAAAGTTTTTACACGTTTTTAATATGTGAATGTTTATTTAACAAGTAAAAATTTAGATAGAAATAACATCAAATAAGATAATCTTTGAAATAACCGATAAATTGACAACTGGATATGTCTTAATAAAGTCTCGTATTACGTTTTATTAATGTATGATATCTAATATTACATCAGGTAATAGATATTGTATTTGATTTAAATAACGATGAGATAAAGTTAATATTTTTGTACAAAAGAAACCAGAGATTTTCCCCTACTCGCCACCTCTATACATGCAGGATATATTTAATTAATTAATTTAATATTCAATAGGCAAATATGATTTAAAAAATATCTTAATAACAAATATATTTATAAAGAAATGATAAAGAAATGTATTTTTGAGCTACTTAATTAAGAGAGCATATCACATGTTTAAATATCAAGATTTTATCGAAATATCGCGGATTTTTTTAACTGTGTATTCCCGGAAATTATCAACAAAAATTTGGACATTATTTATATAGATAAAAAGTTAGTTCAACATAAGTTCCTTTTTTTATTAGTATAAATTATATTATATTAAGGAATTGAAGACATCTTCATACATAAACGTATTTAAATTAATGCTTCATATAAAAGTAATTAAATTATTTTGTTGTATAAAAACAATAAATTTCTTTAACAACAATAATTATTAAGAATATAATATGCAATGTAAAGTGTTCTCCCCTGACGCAGAAGATTTACGTATATTTCTTATTCGATGTATGATATTCTTGACAAATATTGTCAGATATATGTGTATGTGTGTGTTGGCGCGTGAATGCGCACGTGTGTGTGAGAATTATTTCGAAATGCATAATCGACACTCCAGTCTCTCTGCGAGAATTTCACGGCTGTTATGGCCGATATTCTGTCACCGTGTATCCACCAATTGACTTAATGATCCGAGTGAATCTATTCTCGATGCAGGACCTAAGTGCATACACGAGGTAACATATTGGATGCTCACACGGTTAACAAGCATCTGAGCAAACAGTCTCCAACAGCCTTGACAAAGCAGTTGTGACCCTTACAATTGGAAAGCAAATGGAAAGCTTCACCATTTCGGAAATGCAGATGTAAAAGATCAGAATAAATTAAGTTTTTTAAGTGCAATAATCTTTTTCAGATATGATTTAATAAAACATGAAATGCAAATCTCTCAATGTAAAGTTATTAATATCGATAAATATTATAATTCTCAATGCATGTAATTATATTCTGCCTTTATTCCTAATGCAATTTAAAATCGAAAATCGATTCTTCCTATATTGGTAATAACTTATTATTGTCTTACATAAAAATTAACATATCTTTCATAAAGCATTTTTAATTATATATATGTTTAATATATGTAAAATGTTTATTTTAACCCAATAATAATTTAATACTTTATATTAATTCGCAAATATATAATTATTATCAGTCATTGTCTTTATTAAAGATATATTCTGAGATGTAGATATTAAAGGATAAGCATGTAATATGTTTAGGTATACATACATTACATGTAATTATTAGAATATAAATGTTCGTATATTATAAAATTTCTCAAATGATCCTATTATAAAATTTATGTTAAATATCTTATATATAAAGATTCGCCATTAAAAAAAAGTAATTATTAGTATTTGAAAAAATATCAATTTTATAAAAGCCTTGTACTGTGAAGATTAACTGTAAAGATGGAATAAGATAATTGAGATATGATTATGGTGCGGGGTTTCATAATATTTGAACGATAAAAATATTGATTTAGTATACTGGAAACACACTTGTGCGTAATTTATTCTATGAATCAGAAGCCAGAATAAAAATGTGCACATGTACACGTGTGTGAGTAATAATTATATCTCGAGCGCTTTTATTTATAAACTTAATTAAAATATCTATCAATTACATATAGGAAATATTGATTTATTTGCCTATGTCAATATTTTCTAAATGCTTTCTTTTTTTTAAAAGGTTAGGTTTTTTTTTAAAAGGTAACGATAAATTAAACCTTTTTTTTAACTATATTATTTTGAAAATGTGTTTCCTTTTTAAATAATATAAAATTATTGATTATATATAATATTGAAACTATACAATAGATAACAAAAATATGATTCATAATTTAACGAATATGCCATATACAGATTTTATTAGAAATTTATGTTACTTAAATTGTGTGTGTGTGTGTGTTTTTAATAGAGCATAACGATGTTCATTTATATGTTATGACATGATCGTATTTATTAAAATAACTTTTTCGTAGAATATATCTTTCCAGAACAAGGTGATACATCAACGATGTAATCATGATAAGCTGCGCGATAAGAGATTATTGCGCGTATTTAAACGCCGATCGCTCGTTGTGTCGGCAGAACTCGAGTAACCGAGTAACCTGCAGTGATCACGCGGTTTTCGAGTGTGAAATAAGTCAAAATGTCGGCACAAAAATATATAATCGGTTTGGCCTTTTTGGTCGCTGCTTTGATGGCTATCAACACCGTACCAGCTAATGGTGCCGTTAATCAGTTGGCCACCAACAAATCACATCATCTGGTTGTCGGCTACAGAGTGCCTGGTGACAAACTCGTACTCAGGCAAAATATTGTCAAGAACTCTTCCTGGATGAAGGTCATAATTATCGAGAAGACCTTCAATATTTCAACATGGCAACGCATCACTTTGGTTCAATCGTTGGACCAGAAGACAAACGGCAACGGTGCTACTGCTAGTCTTTTGCAAGGTGGACCTGGCTTTAGCAATGTTACCCTTAGGTACAAGAGCGTGAGAGGTCACAGCGTCAACCATATCCTTGAAATCTACGCACGTTAATTTTGGTGGAAGCAATTAATATTACGATTGGTATGATGAATTTTGAACACACACATATAGGCTGAGAAGTAAAATAATTAATTATGAAGACTATGCGTTAGCCTCATATATGAACTATTTATTCTTACAACATTGTTATTATTGCCGTTAAAAATGTTTCTCTGCATATTCTTGTTATTCATTCTCTTCTTTAGTCTCTCTTCAATCATCTGATGTTTTATATTCATCATCAATAAATATCAAGCATAAGTAATGCAAATGTATACTTTCTTTCAAATATAAATATCTAAGGGAGATTTATATATTCTTTCAATATATATTACAATATGCATGTGTTATTTTTATATTAAAAAAATATAATATGTCTATATAAAAATTTAATATATAGCATAAGATCTAATTAATCTTTCATAATCTTTAACCTAAGATTATGAAAATTTCATTTTTTTCTGTTTGAGAAAATAGTTTATTGAAAAATTCACTTTTATTACGTATTTATTTTCTCCAATTATATATCGCACTTATTAATGGTACTTTCGATACGAATTAAGATGACGGTGTGACAATGCGAAAGAATCTAGAGGAAGTGTCGATAATAATGCAATTAGCGCTGCGAAGCGAAACACGACAGCGATCCGGAATAAAAACGGACCTCGAAGAATCTACTTGCGGAATGTCTTTCTTGTACGCGCTAATCAAGCATCCGAGCCGCTTCTCCTCGCGACTCGATAATTTCCCTTTTTTCCCTTTCCGCTTCCTCGAGGTGGAATCTCCGTTGCTGGAGTTCGGGGGAATCGTCTCCGAAGAATCGTACGACGCGGCTTGGGCAGGGAATAGGGAAGAGGATACGGAGATGCGGAGAGGAACATCTTCTATTTCCGAGGCTTACGTACAAAGTACGTTTTGCGCATGCATGCATGGCGGCACGAAGTAGGAACAACCGACTGGAAAATTGTTGTCGCTTCGTGGCGCATTCTAACACGGGGGTATCCCCGAGGAACTTCGAATCGAGTTGAGGACCACTGGAAATTGGTGGCGGTATCTCAAGCTTGCGAACGACCATTTCGTTAACCTACTTATTCTATTCGTCCCGTGTTCTCCAGTCTGCGCGTTGCTCGCGAAGCCACGTCGGAATATCTAGTTTGTCCGCAGTTTCCATTTCTGAAAACTGCGCGCGGAAAGGAGAAGGCGTAATTCGCGGTCCTACATTGATGGCAACTTTTCATACGTTTTAATAGATTTTAATGGCCTGGGGAGACCGGCTATACATGCCGTTCGGTGGCGCGATGCGAACCACTCTCGACGATCCTCTGTTTCCGAAGTTATCAGCTACTTCGAATACTCGAAACGTATAGAGCACACCACTACACCGAGTACCGTCACGCTGTCCTAGTTCTGTCACGAACGAAGACAGGGTGCGAAGGGATTATATTTGTGGACTAGACAGAAGCATGTGCAATTTTTATACGTGAAAATTGAGGTCGAGACAAGATTAGAAGCATAACATCCGAGCAATTTCGTATATTAAAAAATTGCTCTCTTACAGAAAAAATGTTTTGTAGAAATTATTGATTTACATATTTTATAGAAAAGTACATGAAATTTTTGAAAAATTACGCTTCAACATAATAGGTTGAAATACTTTTCGCGAGCAGATAAGACGGCAGATATCATATATGCAAACAGTAGCCAGATGTTTAATGATTGTGATGGTATAAAACAGTGATAAGTATGTTTATACTTTGTATATGACATATGTACATTTGTATATGACGCATATAAGAGAATAGCTCTTCTTTAATATTTGATATTTTTAACTAAGCAAATAATGCGGGGGTTTCGCTTTTTTATTCGTCAATTAAAGAGAAAGTTTACTAGCATCGTGTGTCTAATCGTGAGCGATCTTATCACATTCGTGTCAAAATTGACACGTCTATTTATAAAGTACGAGGAATCTCTAGCTAGCTTAGAAGAGTTACTTTGAACTTTTTCTAGCGCGAATCAGTATTTAGAATTCTGAATGACACGCAGGTCTACATTAGCGTTGTGTCGCGACTGTTCCGATGATAAAACGAGGTCTAAGATGTTATATCTGGATACTCGAGAGTATAAAATCGGATTGTCCTGGGAAACGCGACATATGGGATGGTGCATAAGGCAAGTAGCATTATTTCCGTTGTAATAACATAAAAATAGAAACGACTTATAAACGAACGCTATATTTATTCTTTGACGTATATGCAAAGTACGCGCGCACTTGTCGATCGACGACTCTAGAGCTTCAGCGTTTCAAGTACTGCTGCATCCTCTTTTGTCGCGATGTTGATCGACACTGAGTCATCGTCATGTATATTACTTTGATATACATAAGTAGAGAGCACGCGAATCTCTCATTCTTATTCTCTTCATAAATTAAAACTTGAAATGGTTTTTTAAAGAAAAGTACTACTCTTATATGTTCAGTTACGTAAAATTCGATTCAGATAAACGATAAAATTATTTCAACATCGGATTTTTATTAAAGAGTATGGATCCTCTCTTATGTATTTTAGAACAGAATTCTACATAAAAAAATTCAAAGAAACAGTTTACAATACTTGAGGCAACTCGAAAGAATTATCGTGTAATATAACGTTGCAAGTCGCTCGTGTATGCCTGTGAAATTACATTTAATTTTTCTGTCTGAGCGTTACGTTTTTTATGCGAGTGATAAGGAGATTTGGTGCCTCGTAAAACGCGCATAATAAAAAAACATAGTTGACCGCATCTGGCAACCGACCGTGATGCAAGAGCACAAGGACCGCGACGTGTAACCCGTAAACCTGTCGCACACGCGTTCGGTTATTGCTTATAAAGTTGCACGACTGTGACGAACACGTGTACGAAAACCAGGATTGGATGGACAACCCGATGACAGGGACCGAGCGAGAACGAATGAAAGCGTGTTTGCATGAGCATGGCTACAAAAGAGCCGCCCGTCAATCCGAAACCGCAGCGGCCATTATCGGGCAATTTTAAACGAAACGCCGTAGTGTTACGACTCGCGCGCTTTAGATTCTGCAGTCGTCAAACAAAGCAACAGCATCCCGATGCGGTTCGGCTCTTGGAATCCGTGCAAACTGAATGTTGGTATATACGCGACAACAAAGGGATGCGGCAAAACGCGTTCCCGAAAAGTGCGCGAGTCCACGGTTAAAAAATAAAGGCAGAATGCAAAAGTATGCTAATGCAATAACAGCTTCTGTCACGCGCGTGTAAATCCATTTGCTTTTCGTAATTCGCGCTAATAAAATTATCATATTATGATGATGGCTTTTATCCTTGTATGCAAAATATACGCTTACATTCTTTTTCACCTCGTAATACATTACTGAATATGGCATTTTAAGATAGCAAGCGATGGATTTCAGTAAAGAGAAAAGAAGAAACGTCATAAGTCGGCGGCATATGCTTCTTGAGGCAATGCATGTGTAATGCAAGTCAGTCGAATCGCAAGCATTACGCAGCAACTCTCGAACGAAATGGTTCTAATGGATTGACCAACTGACTTGCGTTTTTCGTTTGAAACCTTCTGCGAGTCATTTGAAATCCCATGTAAAAGCTGATGAGTTTAAAGCGCTGTGCGTGTCAGAGTTAAATGCATTCCGCTGACAAGCCGTACGCTCCTTCCTTCGTGAAACGCATTGTTATGTAGCATACAACTTGAATTATCATGGATTTTTGCTATGAGTATCATAATTATTATTTCCATCGTGAAGTTTTATGAATCCAGGCAGTTTGCAATTAATTATTACGTTACAGAAATGTGACGCCGCAAGCACGCTTCTGATATATTTCGTTAATATTATGATCAATTCGCGACAATTGTGTGTTAACATTATCCGACGAAAGCATATCTATTGAATTTGTATTATCTGTTAAAAGCATACAGATCTGTATAAGAAACGAATAATTATGATTTAGATCTTAGATAATTATCCTGGAATTTCGCATCTCGTAAGCGTTTAGTTTGCTAGTCTGCCAATTCTAAGTCCTTTGATATCAAAGCTGCTGATTGGCCACAAATGCAAGATCAGAGTCGGTAGGATCGGCATGTGGATCAACCATGGGTGTCCTATGCGGTCAGCTCGTTAACCGGTATAAACTACACTATGGTTGAGTGATCTCCATTTGCTTATATAGGAAATACGATTAATATCCTTTGATGGCGGATATCCTTAACATATAACGTCTAATCGTATTTAATCATGTTTCGCAAATTGTTAATTTCCTCTATGTATCAAGGAATTTATTTTACTCTTTTTTTCGCAATTATTTCAATCGTAGACATAAAATCGATACTGAATGTATATTTTTTCTAACATGTTTAAAGCGCAGCAGACAAAATTACTTATTTGTTACAAAATATTTTGTTTATGCATTATATACATATATGATTAAATTATTGATACATTTATTAGTACATATTTGCTAATGTTTTTAAATTAATTCATAAGAAAATGTGTTGAAAATCCGTCGAGACTATTTGGTAAGTAATCGCTCAAAATGTGACTAAGTACAGCGATTTTTCTTACATTCGTACTCGTGACTAGAGATACGTCCGTAGCAGATAAGCAGAAAGATACCGGAAAGAAGAATTAAAAGAAGATCAGCGTTCCGAGAGTACGCGAATTTTTCAACATCAAACATTCAGAAGGAGCGGGATGAGGAAGTAGGGTAACCAGTTTAAAAGCCCAGGGTACTTTAACACCCGGGAGCACTACTCGATTCCTCTTTCTCTCTCTCCTTCTCTCTTTATCTTTTTCTCTCGTCTCTGAAAAATCTTTTTATTCCAACCGTACATTTGTATGTACTCATACATATGTACGATCGTGGCGCAGCAGCTCAGTTGCACTTTATTGAGCGAATTTCATTCTCGTTTATAGTTATAACTATCGCGCAAGATACAAGAGACAAGTATATCATAGTCATAGAAATCTATAGAGCTCGTAATAATTTATGCCATCTTGGTCGTGGAAGCTAAAGTAGAGCGATGGAGATCAATTACAACATTCACGTACTTATTCTTCTCCTGTCATACATCTTTCTCTTTAACTTTGAAGGATATATAATACAAAGTTATGGATGAAAAAGCCAGTAAGATAAAATTCTTGTTAATAATCCAACTGTTTTTTATACCGAGTTCAAGCTACTTTTTTACATGAGCCATTTAATTTTTGTAAGATGAAATCTGAAAATATGCAATATGTTTAA